TTGGCCAGTCCATTAAGGATGGCCTCTTTAATAAACTTTTCTAAGATCTTCCCCGGGATAGAAGTCAGGCTGACGGGCCTATAGTTTGCCGGATCCACTTTCCTCCCTTTCTTGAAGATAGGCACCACATTGGCCTTCTTCCAGTCTTCGGGCACTACACCAGAGCACCAGGAGTTTTCAAAGATACGTGCCAGGGGCTGGGCTATGATGCTCGCCAGCTCCTTGAGTACCCTGCGGTGTACAGTGTCAGGGCCGGCTGACTTGAAGGTATTCAGCTTCTCAAGGTGTTCCTTCATGAGGTCGGCATTTATGGAGGGCAGGGGATCTCCCTCACCTGGACCTCCCTGTCCCGTAGCGGGCATGGGCGTCCCATGGGACTGATGAAAGACTGACGCAAAGTACCCATTTAATAGGTTGGCTTTTTCCTGGGCGTCAGTTGTCAGGTGCCCCATCTGGTTCAGCAGGGGTCCAATGTTACCCTTGCTTTTCCTCCGGCTCCCCACATATCTGAAAAAGGACCTGTTATTGTCCTTGATGCTCGAAGCTAGTTGGAGTTCAGAATTTAACTGTCTTAAAGCCAAATTCTGGTCTTGTAGGAATTCAATACATGTAGAAATCCCTGCATGCCTCAGAGATGAAATATGGGCTTGTATCCATGCCTGTAAGGTCCAGCAAAAGCAGAGAGAATTATTTCTCAAACAAAGGGGTACTTTGTGTAAACATTTAATGCAGACAGATGACAATACAGAGATCTGATTGTTTCAATCCCAGATACAATGAGTGTGATTGTTTAAACAGTGTTGAAAGAAGGAATATACACATTCATTTTTTTCACAGTACCAACATTGATCCTTGAGGGAAAAAAAAAATCACAGAAAATACCAACCCTACTTTCTTTTCCAAATTCATTCTTTAAGCTTCTCATTTAGAAAAATACATTCATATCATCAAAAAAAATATAACTCTGATAATCAAATAAAATAGAACAACTCTATATTTTAAAATTTCAAAAATACCCAGTTATATCTTTTATCTATAACTCTTCTATTTTATTTGGGCCCATGAATGCTGCCATGCACGAGGTCAAGATCACTAAACTTGATGATTTTTCTTTTAATTTTTGCTAGAAGCAGGGGCCAAGCTAGGATTAATACCCCAGCAAGTTTATGAATCCTGGTGTGTACGGCACAATGTATAGGCCCAACTACGTAGCTGATCTAGCACCCTCTGCATGTTCCACAATCAGCCCTGCCTCACGCACCCAGCCCACAGTGCTAGAAGATCGAGCACTACTGATTTTAGACCATCCTGGGCTCATTATCACTGTTCACTTGCTGGGTGACCTGGAAGCAATCATGGCCTAAACCAACTCCTGTAGACTCCAGTGTGCTCTAGATCAAGTGCTTCCGAATGGCAGTAGCCTGCACTGTGCAAAGGCACATTTCGCATGGGCTGAGTGCCTGCATGGCGTTTTTATTTGGAGTAGCTAGTGCACAATAAGCTAACAGCATGCTACCTTCCCTGAGTGCACAATCCCTTGATCTCTGTGTGCCAGGCTCCCTTTGTAAAACATGCCCAGTAATGCATCCTCCAGGCAGAGGTATGATGAGGCTTTCATTAATGCTTCTAACACATTATGATTTCCCTGATTCAAAAAGGCACCAATTGTGTGACTGGTACAGTATCGTTACTGTAAAATGCAGCATGTGTGCTGAAAACAATAACACTGCTGCAGCACGTCAATAGGAGGAGGGCAGCTTTCTGTACGGAGAAGCAATGTCTCATGCAAGTCATACACGCATTCACCACTAAAGGCAAATAAATACAAAATATTACTGTCTACAATTCCCAAAGTGACTACTGACCTTAAGTACCTCAATGTGAGATGACTTAAAGGTGCCTGTCAGAAAGTGATGAGCACTGACACTCTCACAGTCAGGACCACAGCTGTGTGTTAAGTGGCACAGCCAAAAAATCAGGCACCCCAAATCACTAGTCACTTTAGAAAACATTTTTGGCAGTAGCTCCCCAAATTAAAATTAAATCACTCCAGTTTGGAGTGACAGTGCATGGGAAAATCCTCATAACATGACTGTCCCAAACTGCACCTGGGGCTTTTCATTTAAAAAAGAACTAATTCAGGCATCTATTTAGGACATTTCATCCTCCAGGATCCCAAAGTGCTTTTGCAAACAAACTGCTATATAAGCCCCCCAGGGATCACATCCATCAACTATCAAGATGCAGCCACTACTATGGTGAAGGGCAACAAAGACAAATAGGGTAGGACAGGTAGCAAAGAAAATCCTGTGTTCAGCAGAGACTACAAAGACAGTGCAGGTCAGAATAAAGTGACCGGCTAAACACATTGGGATATTGCTTTTGCCAGCAGTTCCATGAGATCTTCCATGACCGCAGCATCTTTGCCTTATGTCCCAATAGCAACTTCAGCTGTATGTTATCCTCAGCAGTGCTGGGGATTTGGTTAATACTGATTCAGCATGGCTAACACCTCTTTCAGGTGGGGCATTAAGTTGCATTCATTGAACTCTACTCAGAATCTTCCTGGTTTTGTCAATCAAGGCCAGTGCATTTATTCTTCTGATAATTATCTACAGGATAACTGAACACTGGTACAGTCATCTGGAATCGAAGGTTCTTCTTTGAAAGCTGCTGCTTTCTGGATTCTCATATCAGGGTATTGCCTTCATTTTCAAACAGGTTGTCACAACTGGGATGGTTCCTTCTGTGAAGGGCAGAGAGGATCATGTGATGACAAAGTCTCCATTTTTTCCTGCTTGCTGTTATTTTCTCAGTATGTTTTGCCAGATTTAGCAAAAACTAAAACTTAGGCACCTCAAAAGACAACCAGAACAGAGAGGAGAGAATAGCCTCTCAGTAAACTGAGGACTTAATATTGTCTTAAACTGAACAAATGAGGTCTAAAAGGTCTTTTGATACCGAAATGAGGTCTGAAGTTTTAGACCTTCAGCCTAGGTTTTTTTAATTGGGAAAGAAATCTGTCAGCAAGAAAAGATAGGTCATGTTTAATTACATTTTCCTTAGCTAAGGATTTCTTCACCTGTAGTTTTGACTGGATGGAACAGCCATCCCCTCCAGTCCAAAACTTCTGTACAATGGCAGCGTGCTGCGTCCCACCCCCGAGAAAGCGTACTTCACTGGTGCGTTCTGAGATTTTGCTGCATGATTTGTATTACTTACATTTGGGCAGCTTACACTAAGAGAGCAGAATCACTTACAAAACAGAAGAACAAGAAGAGAACAGAATAACTTAAAATGGAAAGCTCTCAAATACATCCAAGCCACCACTCCCTACCCCCAGCCTTGTTCATTTTTTTGTTAAAGTCTCAGAATTTTCAAGAAAAGACTTTCTTTCCTGGAGCAACTGGAGTTTCTCTAGCTAATGGCCCATTTCCACGAAATACCTTAATTATTGTGAGGCTTATTTTTCTTATTGCAGGCAGAGAGCACTGTCCTTCCTAAGAGCTCTTCTTGCCTGTATGTTGAAGAGGCAACTGTTCTTGCCCTAGCGACCCACGGGCTAGTGATCCACTTGTTTTTGCCAAGCAGACTTGGGGTATTGATTACAGATGGCTGTTCTCAACTGACCTCAGGGATCTTAGTGAGGCATAAGAGAGAAGGTCCCTAAGTGATATAGGGTCCAGACCTTTTTAGACTCAAGGCACCCCTCGTAAGACTCAGGGCACCCCTTGGCAAATGCCAGCTCTGAGCTTTGACTTATTTTTGACCACTGAAAAATAATAGGCCATTTGCTGCAAAGAACTCAAAAAGACCACAACAGGTCAAAATGCTTTTGACATACTGGACTTCTATTTGAAATCTCTGTGTTTATCTGGTTGCTCACATCACAGTTCTAACATTGTGTGGCACCCCTTGGCATCCTTGAAAGGATTTCATGGCACCCCATGGTACTAAGGCACTCTGGTTGAGAAACACTGGTTAGGGCCCTATATGTTAAAACCAGCATCTTGGATTGCACCCAGAAAGTTACTGAGTACCAATGCAGACTCTGGACCACTGGAGTTATGTGCTCCCTGTCAGAAGGTGGGCCACCGTGCTCTGCACCTTCTGTTGCTGCTTCTGGATGGTCAAGGGCAGCCTTATGTACCGTACATTACAAGTTTAGCCTTGAGGTCATGAAGGCATGGATGCTGGTGGCCAGATATGAACATGAAAGAAAGGGTCACAGCCTTCTCACCAGATGGAGTTGGTGAAAGGTGCTTCTAGCCACAGCTGACACCTGAAGATCCAGGCAGACCCAGAAGATCCAGAAGCACCCCAAGGCTGCAAACCTAGGTGACAAGAGGAGGCAGAACACAAGTGATAGGTGTCCTAATCCTTCCCAAGTTATGCAGTCTGCCCACCATCATCACCTCTGTCTTTTTTGGATTCAGTTTCAATTGGCTCACCTGCATCTAACCCCCAACTGCAGCCAAGCGCTGGGAAAGGACAGTGACTATGAGGCTTGGGTCAGATGAGAAACAGAGGTAAAGCAGGGTGGGATCAGTATGCTGAGATGATATCTTGCTCCAAATGCCCCTGTCAGGCCACTGCAATTTGCTGCTGATTTAAACTTACCTTAACTGTTCAAGTGCCTGCTCAGTTTCCTTTTGACTTTTTTCGGTGATTGGGTAGAAAAGGAGTATGAATAAACCTAGAAGAATGAGGATGGCTGGCACTACCCCAATCAGGATTTTCAGTGCAAGGATCACACTGCTGGATTGTCTGCAGGCCCCTCCTTTGTATCCAGCCAACCTAGGAAACATCCACATGCCCAGTACTATTATCCACATGCCATTTGTTATGTTAAGCCCCTGACCCAAATCCCAGCCACCCAGACTTTTGCTCCCATTTCTTCTTACACCTCCTTTTACTCCTTTGTCTGCTAACTGTCCCCTGTGATGGCTAGTCCTGCTCCTATCAATGCCAACGTGGAATTTCATTTCCCTGAGAGCTGGCTTGGATCTTGCATGCCACTTTCCTCCCCATCTTCTTTTAAATACGTTTATTACTTCATTTAATGGTGTGACTGACTACGGCAATAGTGAGATGAAATCCTACAGAGCTGCATTTGTCTGAAAAGTGATTCAACAATGTACTTAAGCATGTGCTTAACTTTAAAAGTAGATAAGTAGTCACACTGCCTCCACGAGCAGTAATCACCTTCAAGTTAAGTACAGACTTAAGTGCTCTGTGAAACAGTAGTGGAATTACTCAGTGCCTAAAGAGAAGCACATTCGTAAGTGCCATGCTATCTCAGGGCCTAGGTACCACTTAGCATAATTGATGGTACCCTAATCTATGCTGTCCCAGGTTGTGGTATTCTTCTGTTTCACTCTGCACATGCACCATGAAAAGTTATTACCCATTCTCTATCAATCTGCCTCCTACACTCTCCCACAAATGTCAGCTCTGGTCTCCAGCAGATGGCAAATGCCTGGAAGCTCACAAAGAGGAACGAAGCAGAGTTAATCAGCTGACAGTAATACGTTAGTTATGAGCTTTCCATATGTAGTGTCTAAAAACAAGGAGACTTATTTTCTTGAGGAGAAAGTATTATGGCATCGGCTGCAAACTTCATAGCAGTTGACCAAAATACTTCAGGGTATTTCATGGCAAGGTCCACAGTGGAGCTACCACAACCCACCACCATGCTATTTTGGTTCTCCAGTCTTCAAATTGCAGTAGTGGCAGAAGATAGACTATTAAAATCACAGTTACCAAATGGGACTTAATTGCCTGCTATAAAAGCGATCTTCCTAACTCACAGTAAAAGCAGCCAAAAAACAAGTATTTTAAAGAAATTTTCAACCAAAAGTTTCCAGTTGCTGAAAACTGATTTGGACCCATAGCCTACATTGTAGGTTCCACAAACATGCTATTGAAAAGGTAGCCACAATTTCTAAAAAGACTTTTGATACTGAGACTATTTCTCTTCTTCCATAATAATCATTTCCATTTGTTCAGCTTCTGCCCCTGCAGACTTGGAGTACTGTACAAGCATTTCTGTCACACTAACACCTAGCAGTGTCAGTGGAAATCTGGCAAGCCTTGCGCTTGGCTCTGTAAAAACAGAGAACGAGAGACCATTTCTGCTCCCTTTCCCATAGACATATATGGCTGGAAGAGACCACAGGAGGTCCAAGGCAAGATCAGCCCTCTCCAAACCAAATGTTTGGCAATCTCCACTTAAAAAATATCCAGTAATATGAATTCCTAGTAATGTGTATCAGTACTTAACCACTCTCCGAGCTCAAAAATTCCTCCTAATATCCAACCTAAATTTTCCTATCCCTTAAGGGATGGGATGCTTCATAAAGAGCTGTATCTCTTCAGCAGTGTTACTGCAGTGGTAAGTTTCTGTGTTCTGTGCCTAGGGGTCTACATAAGCTTCACTTGTATTTGCAGCTGAGATTTATGAAACTAAAGTAAATAAGGAATATCTAAAAGGAGCTCTGTTACTTTTGAATTGAAATATGTTAGTGTAAATGTCTCACTGCCCAGAAGGTCTGACCTGGATGAGAACAATTCCAGGTTCATGATGTAGTCAACTCGAACTGACATCTTGTCTATCTATACCTGCCAGGATCCTGCTTTCATGAGTGGTGATTAGCCGCACAGGAAAAAAATGAAGGCCCTCAGAATCTTTTTATAATAAAAGCCAAATAAGTGGAAACAATCACTTACTCAAGGCTTGCTGAAGACATTCCTAATCCAAGCGCTGCTGACAACTTGGTGAAGAAGACATACGAAGAATAGAAGAGGGCTTCAGGCCTCTTTACATATTGATTCAGCAGGCGGAAGTGATCAACAACATCAGGCAACATGGACCTGGAGGCCAGCAAGAGAAGAGGAATGAACAGCCTCCAGCAGAAGTCTGAGCCTCTTTCATGGACAGAGTTGGCAAAGGGTCCTTTTTCTTGGAGGTCTGATTGTGTACAATGATTGTGTAAATCACAGAGCGGAGTATGGAAAAACAGAAGGTGCCCTTGTTTGAAAGGAGGGCCATAATTGTCATAGGAAATGCACAAAACACACCGCAAGGCCACAGAACCACAACACCTAGGTAAGGTAACCAAGCCCCTTCCACACGATTACAAGTTATTGCTTAATACTATTACTTTTACCAACAACAATAACAACAGTGATAATAATGGACAAGAATGCCCGAGCTGGATTTGGGGCCACTTGGATTTTTCCAGAGGTCTTATCATGCAACTACCTCAAGTGTGGTAGCATGCAGAAGCAGTTGTAGGACACTAAAGGGGCCCGTCCTTCCACTGATCGAGACTGCTTCTGACCCAGAACCACAGCAGGATGGAAGTGGGTCAAAACATCAACTATAAATCAACAAGTTTCATTTTTACCGGTTTACTGATGGAGGGCAGGCTGTGTTCCTGAGCTCAGGTAGTCTGGGCAGCCTGAATACATACCCCTGATCCCCAAAAGGCTTCAGTTTTCATAGAACTGCATCTATGAGGCATGAAGGGCTGTTCTACCTGACTCAATCTCGCTTTGTGGTCAGGTTGACTTCAAAAGCCAGGCACGTGCAAGAAGGGATCCAGCTCTGCAACCTCTTCACTTGGTTTTAATCAAATAATTCACTTCCAAGCCCCTCTTCAAACACGAACCTGGGTGGGTTTGACAGTTTCTTTCATCCATGGCCCCATACGTGGCACTCCTGCATTTTATTTGCAACACAGAACCACCCTGACTCTCCACAATACTTTGCTAATTGATTTGCACTCAGGGTCCATCCCCATTTCTGTTGCCATTTTAAAAATCAAATCCAAGCAACCAACTTAGTGTTTAGCCACGTTCTGCACCTATGTAGGGTATCAATTCACTTACAGCTAGACACCGAGAGCAGTTCTGTTTATACATAAAGACATTAGCTGTTAATTCTGTTGTAACTAGTGTCACAGGGCCGCACAGGTATCTTCTAAATATAGTGAAAGCCAATGTAGAACACATACCAGTTTATTACTAAATTCTGGCTTTCCCTGAGGTACATACTGTACATTTGTAGATACACACACTCCCTCCCTTCCCGCCTTGAGACCTTCAAGCATTAGATTCTCCTACCACGGCAACAACAAAGATGCTGCGATACTCAGACCAGAGACAAAGGCCACCACATATGCCACGCTCAGGTTTGGGACTGTAACCAGCATGACTGCGAATGGGATCATCCACTGAGAAAAAGAAAAAAACAACAACAAAAATGGCGTGTCAGGCATGGAAAAGATACGGCACATCATGGAGAAGATACATTTTGCTAAAAAACAGAGGTGGCTGTGGGAGGCAGCAGCCCGAGCACCAGGCTAGTCCAAAGTTTAGAGCCTCCACATTTTGGAAAAAATGTATTCCCATCACGTCCTTATTTGTTACCCAACTTAGCGAGAGTCCCTTCCCAGACTGCAAATTCCCAGCAGAGACAGATAACCTCTGCATTAGTCTGTAGTGGCACGGCTGTCATTTCACCACAAGAGCGCGCTCTAGCAATACAAGATTATACCTTGTATAAACGGATACAATTGCAAGCAATTTTATGATCAGTTTCCCTCTGCATCATGCACCCTTTCAGAAACTAAAGTATCCAAAGAGGTTTCTGGAACAATAACAGCACTGATTTAAAATGCAGTGAAGAAGAGGCACGAGGCAGGACCAGCAGGCCTGAGGCTCTAATGCAGAAGCGGAGGTATTCGGGAGTAGAGTTCCCTAAGATCTAGAAAAGTCACTGTAACATATGTCCACTGCATTTTATTTTTCTTCTTTATAAATTAAAGACTTTTCAGTCCTTAGTGGCTCACTCCCCCTCCCATACCTCTCCCTTCCACGACCACACACTATGTGACCTACAGACAAGCAGGCCCACCAGTGACCTGAAGGGTTTTAACTGACTTACAGAGAACAGCAGGGCAAAGGGAGGGGAAATGATAGCCAAGGACACTGGACTTATGAAAAGTACCTGATAAAGATCTTTAATAGTTATGTGGAGCGGAGGTGACCTCCATCTTACCATTTCAGGTATCGCTTGGGCACCTTCATTTCTTCACATCAGCCTCCACATGGGCGAGTCTACACAAGACACTTTATTGAGCAGTAGAGCAAATTACTCCACAGTATGCATCACCGTCTACACATGCAGACCCCTACTGTGCAGTAATTTGCTCTCCTCCGCAGTTAATTTGCTACCTGCATTTGCAAGGTACCCAGCAAATGTGGGTAGCAAATTCACTGCCAAGTAATTACTGCTCAGTAAGGCACATGTAGACGGCTGACCAAGAGTAAATTTGTTCCTGGTCAGCCGGGCAGCAGGAAGCGGGAGATTGCTCCCTGCCCCCGGGAGCTGCCTACTGCTAGGGCGGGCTCCGGTGGTGGAGCCTGGGCAGGGACAATTTCCCCCTGCCCTGGTAGCAAGGAGTTCCCAGCCCCTGCTCCGCGATCATGGACCCCGCACCCAGCCAGGGGCTCACTGCTAGCTGCTCCACCAACAGATTGGGGTCGGGGGCTGGGACCTGACCCTCCCCTGCAGCTCTTTCCAAGCTCCCTGCCCCTGACTGGGGAGCCGGAGCTGTAGTACATTGCCCCGGCCTGGACTCTGCCACTGGAGCCTGCCCCAGCAGCAGGCATGGGGCAGGGAACAATCTCCCAGTTCCCACCAGGAGACAACTGTCTCCTGGCCCCATGCTCCCTGCTAGCCCCAGGAGCAGCCTGGAGCCCCCTCTGGCTGCTGCACGGGAGCAGAGCTGGGTGGGAGCAAATCTTCTCCCAAATGTGCACACATGTAGACTCCTGCCCAGGGTGTGTTTACTCTGGAGTAAATCCATCCAGCAGCATTTGCACGTGTAGACATGCCCCATGAGGGCTGAGCACTTGATCTCAACAGCATAAAGCAGATGGATGTTGCAGCTAGTTTCTGTCCTGTGCCCCAACTGTGGGCACAGGAAGGACGATACAGCATGATCCTGCTGGGGCTTGAACCCTGCCGCCCCAGAAAGTTTAGATCATGTTGCTACTGATACTTAGGCCACTGAACCATCTCCTCCAGCCAAAACTAAGGAGGAGTGGGAGAAAAGGAGTCTGCGTCCCGCCACTGGCATAAGAAAAAATCTGTGATACCCACATATCTTGTCTGAATGCTTTACTTTCAGGTGTCTCTTGATATTAATTTAATGAGAATATTAAGTCTACAGAGGCTACAGAAAATCAACCCATTTTCAAATAAGTATGTAGTACTCCTTCCACCCTTAAAAGAGGCTGAAACTCTCAAGGAAAAAACAAATGGCAGAAACACAAGAGCATTGAGTGAAGTGATATTGTTCCCACAATACAAGTGAAAAGGTATAAGGAAGGTGCAACAGAGGCTGACAGCCTGGGAGGTAAATCTGTGCTCCTTCAGGGCCCATCTTAGCTTCTGGCAGCTAGCTGTGCTGGAATGCTAATGAGAGGAAGAAACAGGTGGGACATGTGACTTCCAAGTATATATTTCAACCTATCTAAAGATATGGTACAATCCAGAGTTTTGTTTTGAAGTCACACACAGATTGCAGTTTCAATAAACTGTTGCTGTACAAAACACACAATGGCTGTTACCAGACCTGAACTTTTTGGGGTGTTAGTCAAACTTTCAAAAAACTTAAAAAATTTCATACAGAGGGAAAACATGGACAATTCCATGTCCTGTTCACTGGACAGCGAGGAGGAATTTCGCTACTCCCCCCTCCTTAAACTGAGTTACAGGTTCAGTTACCTAAACTGCTCAATTTTGTTTGGTTCAAGTCAGAACCATATATTGGCCATAACAGAGATGGATCCAAACCTCAAACAACATGTAACCCTTGGATTTGGGGCAGCCTGGATCAGAAACTGTAATATTATGCTCAAATTCTTTTCTGTGAAATGGGCACAATGTAGAACCTGCTCAAACTTGGGGAAAAGTTGGCATCTCATATTCAGCACCAGCCCAATCTCCAACAAGCAAAACTTAAAATCTGCCAATAACATATATATCGTTTCTAGGTTTTAAACAAACCTTGAAGCAAGAAAAACTGTCCTTGGTTTGAGGTCTCATTGCCCAAGTTTTGCAGAAACTGCTACTGTTGGTCATGTAAAATGCAGCACTAACAGGTTTTTCTACCATTTTTGCTTACCGAAATCCCACATGCTGCACTTTTCTTGCCAAAGTGCTCCAGAAACCACTGCCAGAACGGAATGCTCACCGCTGCTGACACCTGCAAAGGATGAAAACAAGATTTGTAGGATATTTATTAAGATCATCATCTGAGTAAGCTACAGGGCCCACCAACACCCTCTACTGTTTTGTGCAAAAGATCTGAACTAAGGAAGAATTTAAGGCTTCCTGCTCTCTTTCCCACTAAGAAAAACAAGAATGATGGAAAAAAGAAATTGGAGAAATTATTAGTATGTAAGCTAAAACTCCCCGCTGCACATAAGCACACAAAACCCCAGTGCAATAGGCAGTGTACTAATTAAATAAAAAAGAATACAACACACTTTCCCCAGGGATCAATCTAGGGCATTTATAAGATGTCGCAGGGGTAACCACGTTCAAAAGATTATTTTACCTTTGACCACCTCAATTTACATTTAACAGACTGGCTTCCTTGTATACGTACTGGCCTCTGGCTGCTTTACCACTCCATCCAGGAAGAGCACAGACTATCTGCAAAGAGGGATGTGGACCACATGGAGAGGGTCCAGAGGAGGCCACTCGCATGATCAGGGGGCAGCAGGGCAGGCCCTACGAGGAGAGGCTACGGGACCTGACCCTGTTCAGCCTCCACAAGAGAAGGCTGAGGCGGGATCTAGTGGCCCGTTACAAACTAGTCAGAGGGGACCAGCAGGCATTGGGGGAGTCCCTGTTCCCCCGAGCACTGCCAGGAGTGACCAGGAATAACGGTCACAAGCTGGCAGAGGGTAGATTTAGGCTAGATATCAGGAGGCGCTACTTCATGGTCAGGGCAACTAGGATCTGGAACCAACTTCCAAGAGAAGTGGTGCTGGCTCCTACCCTGAGGGTCTTTAAGAGGAGGCTAGACAATCACCTTGCTGGGGTCGTTTGACCCCAGTACTCTTTCCTGCCATGGCAGGGGGTCAGACTTGATGATCGGCTC